CCACTATGAAACAGTAAAAATTTACCAGAATTTACCAAAATTCCCTAAATTAACCAATTTACCCCACTTCTACCTATAATCCCACTGCTTCATTTTCTAGGGGGTATATACGCGCGCTGAAACGGCGAATTTTTCCCGTGCGCTCCCAACTCACCTAGCCTACTACTCGTGAAAACTCCACTTTCACCACAAACTCACATGTACTTTCACGCGACTGAAGCGGATACGACCCCCCCTCCTATAAACTCAACCAGGTACGACCCCCCCGTTGTTACTAGTAACAACGTAGGGTTGACCCTGCTCCGAGCCCCTTCCTCTTCCTCTCAACATTAGATGTGATGGTGAAGGACCTTATGGGAGGATCACTAAAGACCATACTCTGCGTTGACGACATAACCTTGGTTGACGGACTACTTGAACTCAGCCCTTTACCGCCTCTGCGCTCTCTAGCGGGTCCCTCTCCTCTCCAAGGCTTAGTCCTAGGGCATTCTCTAATCGTCTGTGCTCTAGCCATCGCGGCAGGACCATTGAGGAAAAATCAAGTAGTCCGTAAACCACATAACCTTGATAGCAGATACAAGTCAAGGCGCATAAATAGGCAGAAAGTCCTGGCAGAAGGCGGGCTCGGCTGAATGTCAAGAAGACCAAGTTCCTGAGCTCGAAGAGGGTGCAGAGCCGATCGTGGACGGCCATGGTGAGACATCGAAAGAGTGGAGGACTTCCGATACCTTGGGAGCGATCTGGCAGCCGACGGCAGTGTGGATCAGGCAGTGAAGGCACGGATCAACGCGGCATGGATGAAATGGAGGGAGTCCACTGGAATCCTCTGCGATCGAAGGTGCTCCAGAACGCTCAAAGGGAAGGTGTAGCAGACGCAGAGAGGATGTCAGAGCGGTCATGAAGACTGCCCCTGTCCAGCTGAAGGTGGGGGAACAGCGACTGCGATGGTATGGGCACGTGCTAAGGAGGCCACAGGATCATCCGATAAGAACAGCGATGGACTTCGAAGTGCAAGGCAAGCGACCGCGAGGAGCCCCAAAGAAGAGGTGGAGAGACGTGATCAAGAAGGACCTAAGTGAAGTCATGGCCACAGCAGAAGATGCCCTAGACAGAGCAAGTGGCGACGACTGATAAAGACAGCGGACCCTGCGACTGCGCGGGACTAACGCTAGGGAGAAGAAAACCCTAATTGACAAAAATGTAGCGGGCAATCCTACTATATAAGCGGCTAGCGTGTGTCTGTTGGTGTGTGTGTGTGTGTGTGTATGTTTGACCGGAAATTCATAGCTCGAGTCACAGTAACGATAGCGCAGTGGTTCTTACATATGTTATAGGGGGTGGGATGGGGACACAAGTGGTACGTGATAGGAACTGATAACGACTGATAATAGCTGATAAGAGGGGCTAGAAAGCGAGCATCGCCAATTTCGTTTTGTCGTTCATATTGGTACTAGAGCGTCTATACTTACAAGTGTTATGTGGGGTGGTCCCGGGACATTGGTGGTACATGAATGAAAGCGATAGCAACTGATAAGGGCTGATAAGGGGCGTCAGAACGCAAAAGTCGTCGATTCCAATTACCCAGCTCGCGTTGACACCAGAGCAACCATACTTACAAGTGTTATGTGGGGTGGGACGGGGACATTTTGGTGGGTGATTGAAAGTGATTACAACTGATAAGGGCTGATAAGGGCGTCAGAACGCAAAAGTCGTCGATTCCGTTACCTAGCTCGCGTTGACACCAGAGCATCCATACTTACAAGTGTTATGTGGGGTGGGACGGGGACATTGTTGGTGGTGATGGAAAGTGGTTACAACTGATAAGGGCTGATAAGGGCGTCAGAACGCAAAAGTC